GACCAACACAAAAAATCATGTTTATAGGGGTTGTTCATATGAGAATGTCTATATAAGGGGCCTGTTTAAATGGAGGCAAGTTACCCGGCAAGGCGAGTTTATATGATACAACCTGGCAACTCACCTTGGCAAGTTCTGGCAGAAAGACACAAAATCTTGCCCAGGTGAAATGACTTATTTTACCATCCGTCTAAACACTTTACTCGGGAAAGGTAGAAATTTGTCTTGCATTTAAAATAATAGCTTACAAATAAATATGAATGATTAGATATCAGCTTTCCTGAATTTCTTGCCATTAATTCTTGTATTATCATTATATTTTGTATGTAATGTTTTTGAAATCTTTTAATCTTTTAAGCGACTTTGTGTTTTGCACAAATTTATGCTAAGTTTCTGTTTATATGGAATTTGCTTAGCAAATGCTATATAAGCCAATCCCATACAAACAGTAACTTGCCTTGCTTGCATGGCTAACTCACTCGCCTTTGTATTTACAGGCCTCAACCATCCGGCAATCTAGCTGGCTAGTTTCTGTGTGAATTGCAACACACAGGACAGGCTATCCCACAAACTAACAAGAAATTCCCCCTGCATTATTGGCAAGAAAAAGGAAGTTAACTTATGCTTATTTCTTATGTCTACTTATTTCCAAGGGGATAGAAATAATATCTGGGCTAATTCAGCCAAGTTTATCCATTCCTGTTTTGCTTTGAATTAAATACATGTTGATTTTTTATAGATTCTAAGATCATACATAATTTTCAAAATTTGCATGGAATATTCAGCTCTGGAAAGAAGTCCAAGCACTAAAGGTTTGTAATTATGAAAATAAATTGGTAAATTCACCCTTACAGATTTATTGCATCCATGTCATTTTCCTGGGTTATAGAAAGTTTTAGGCATAGGTTAATTAGCATAATTATATACTGAGTGAACTTTGGCAACATTAGACAGATTTAGATTCAGGATCAGGGCCATACGCAACATTTTTTCACCAGGGGGGCAGTAAGGCCTATATGCCGAAAAAAGTCCCAAATATCCAAAGAATAATTAATAAGGGACCGGTCATTATTTATGACGGGGGGTGGCACCGAAGAGAAAAAGGTTGGGTAAATAAAATTTTGAGTAAGTAAAAGGTTGGGTAAATGAAAAACAAAACAACTCAAGGGTTGGGTAATAAAAATTTATTGTCATTTCCAAAACATGACTCACTGAAATATTGTTGACTGAAAAGCAATGTGAACAGTCATTTGTCAATACAATATGTGAATCAATCAGGCAGAGTCACTATCTTGATCATTTTGACAAAACAAATGGTGTTTCCAAAGAAAGTACATGTGCAGACAACATGAAACTTTAGACTGCAGGAAATTGCACAAGCCGTTATCAAACTTGTGTCACAGAACTCAGAAGTGGTAAAGGACATGTGTGACAACTGCCGGAATGGTATCTTTTTGTAACGTTTTTGGCCAGGGGTGGGTAATTATTTTTTAATTGATATTTGAGGTTGGGTAATCAAATTTTTGACTTTTTAATGGTTGGGTCAGCAAAATTTTTGCCACGAAAAACATTTCTCTTCGGTGCCCCCACCCCCCACTATAAATAATGACCGGTCCCTAATGACATTCTAAAAATTCGTAAATATAGTTTTGTTCGGGGGCAGTTGCGCCACTACCCCCACCCCCACCCCCGCTGTGTACGGCCCTGTTCAGGATGTGTGATGGTGTGAAAATATTGCAGTTTATTTAGCTTCCAGATCTGTCCACCATGCAGTAATTGACCTTGTCTTGATGTTCCCATCTTCAATTTAAAAGCTCTTTTCCACTCCTTGCAAAACCAAGTGATCAGCCTGCTGTGAGTGCTTCCATCTTATTGAAATAAACTGTTGAGCATTGTGATTGGATAATGTCTTGTACAATAGCTAGCTTGCGAGTTGGTTTTTGCCATGAGTGGAGGAGGGTCTTAAGTCTGTTATGTTCACACAGCCAATGTGAAAGTTTATCTTATTTTTACTTTATATTTAAATGACTATGTAATTAATCATATATCATGCATACTGTAACATCCATGTAATTCTTTGTTAGGATAACGAACACCATGAAGTTTGGTGCTCCAAACGTTCTGATAAAGTACCTGTCCTCTTGGTGGAAAAGACGAAATGTTACCTACAGTGTTATCGTTGGAAAGAGAATTCTGGCCGAAGTGGACGTAACAGAGCTGAATGAAGCACTGCAGTGCTGGCAAGTTTTTATCTTTTAGTTTTTGATTATCCACACTTTCCGGAGATTGGATTAATTGTTCTCCATGAGCATTATGAATTTCAAGACATTAATGTTCCTCAAGAGGTTGCCGATTCATTTCAGTCAGCACTAACAAGTTTCCGAAAATTCAAGGCTGATTTAGAGTAGAACATTGAATTTGGCATGTGTATATGTACTGTCTATACTCTATCCATTAATTTATTTAATTGTTTGATACATTATATTAAATAGTGTAGACCAGCAGCTAGGTAACTTGTCATCGTCGCATGCATCCCGGGCTCAAGATAACGGCCAGTCAACAGTCAATGACTGGCTAAAAATCCCTGTTGACCAGTCACTTTATATCCTCATCAGTCATCGCACACAAATTCACCTTCATATAAATAATGTGATTGTGAACGTCTTCAGTGTTTATAAAACTTGAAACAATACATATGAGATGTCCAATTTGAGTGAGGCAGTACTTGCACTTCTTGCCAGTTTCTACCTTCTGGATTTTGATTATTCGCAGATGCAGGAAATTGGTTTGAATGTTTTTCAGCATTAGATTTTTAAGACACAAATGTGTCACAAGACATTGCCAATTTGTTTAAGTCGACGATGACAAGCTACCAGAGTTTCAAAGTTGATATGCAATAAGCTGGTACTAATACAGTATGTACTGTATGATGAATATCATGTGGAATATATTTTTCTGTATGAATATCATGTGGTATATATTACTATAGGATGAATATCATGTGGTATATATTTATATATATTTATATACAGTATAAACTATTGCATGCAAGGTGCCATGTATTCTTTATAATTGCTTCCAGTCTATAATCAATATATCATTACTATAACTTGTTGGTCCTTATAAAATAAAAATATACCTCTTCCTTAAACTAAGAAATTTTAAAGAGAAAATATTTCTAAAATAAGAAATTGAGTTTTCTCATTTTAAGAAATATCTCTCTAAGATTTTCTTAAGAAAAAAATTCTTAAGAAAATTAGTAAGAAAATTTTCTTACCAGTCTCCCAAGAAAATTTGGACTTATTTTAAGAAAATTTTCTTAAAATAAGAAATTTTAAAGGAAAAAATATTCTTAAAATAAGAAATTGGTATTCTTATTTTAAGAAAAATCTCATGATTTTCTTAAGAAAAAAATTCTTAAGAAAATTAGTAAGAAAATTTTCTTACCAGTCTCCCAAGAAAATTTGGACTTATTTTAAGAAAATTTTCTTAAAATAAGTTGTTTTTTTCTTAATATAAGAAAGTGATTTTTTGCTGTGTACTTCCTTCAGAAGATAAATCATGATACTATAGTCATTGAAAATAAGTTGCAACGAACAGTGTGTGCACGCTTTTCGTCTTAAGCCGGTTTTCCACTAGGCGGAATTTTGCGCGCAGAGCGGAATCTTTCTTTGTCTTTTCTAATTAGTTCCACCCGAGAAATCACAAGACAAAGAAAAATTCCGCTCCGCGCGCAAAATTCCGCCTAGTGGAAAACTGGCTTTAGCATCAATATACATGCATGCAATTATGACTTAATCTTAATCTTTAAAATTCTTTAAGCACGGTAGCCATTCAGCATGCTACGCTGATTTTCAATGGGCCGTGCACACTATACAACATATATTAACCTAATTCTATAACACAAAATAGTGAAGCCTACATACTGGTCAGCTTCACACTATACTAATACATTAAACAACTAATTATTCTAATTATAGTAAAAAACTACTGATATTACTGATTAACCCAAGGGGACTTAATCGGTTCTGTAGTGATTGATGAGCATAGATTTAGCAACATTTAGTGTGATATTGTCGACGTTTTGTCTAATGTTATCCGGGAGATTGTTCCAAGATTTTGCCGCTCTATATGAGAAACTTTTTTTGAGAAAATTTGTGTTAGGTTTCTCAAGGAAAGTTGGAAAGTTACTTCTCAAGTTGTACGTTTCGTTTGAACAGAAATTAAACATTTCTGTGAGATAATTCGGAGAATTAGCAGTAAGTGCTTTAAAAGTAACAATATTTTCTCGAATAGATAAGCTTTTATGGATTGGCATCCAATCAAGTTTTCGAAATATTTCATTGGACCGTACATCATATGAAGCGCCGGTTATCACACGTGCCGCTTTCTTTTGAAGTTTAGATAGCTTTGTAAGTTTACTTTTGTAGCCATCGTTCCAAACAGTGGAACAGTAATAGAAATTCGGATATCTTTATATCGGATTCTTTATATCAACCCGTCCTCGTATCCAGGGTGGAAAGTCCCTGCGACGGAGGTCATCAAGCATCCGGCTTTCCCGAACTTTTGTACAACCTGATTACGTGCCATTTGGTATGTGGTTTATATCGTTAGCATTGTTGAGCCGATATTTCACCTTCAAGTATTCGTGCTTTCAACGACAAAGTTGAGTTATACTGTATGAATCAAAGTCTTCACATTCTACTTTGAAATCTGGCTTGAGTAGGGCAGCGCCAAAGTGATCGACTCGGTTTATTATACGTTCTGACGAAAAAATGCATTGTCGTCATTTACATTCACACTTTATACACAAATTGGATATACGTTCGTAGCGTCAAACGCAGCTTTACGGAGCTTAGTCGGATAATTCTACTTCGTCATTGGTTAGTTCGCTACGGAGTCACGTGTGAGATAGCGCGGGAAGGATCGAGCGGCAGTTGCAAAGGATTCTTCGAGCGAACGTCAACAACAAAAAATTTCCGCTTAAAAATTGAATAAAAATGGCAGAAGACACTTCGGATATGGAGAAAAAACTACTTATAGAAGAAGAACAACATCAGAGTGACGAAGACCTGTCTACGAACGAACGATTTATGCAGTTGTTATCCAAAATGAATGATAATATTTGTGCACTAGGCGTATCGCTAAATAAACGAAAACATGAGAGCTTTGTCTCTGATCAACCAAGTACAAACACGGCAGTATCTGCCAAAAAAGCTAAAATTCGCTCACTGTCTGAGTCTGTATCAGACAACGAATCGGACAGTGAAGCATTGCTGGGAGACGCGGAGCAGGGACGACATCACAATGCCAATGATGAGAACAACTCGAACGAGGACGAACAATAACCCGCCAACATGGCGGATGTAGACGATCCCTTGCTGGACGAAATAGCGCAATCACTTGACGAAACTGAGCGAACGGGCGACCCCGTCTCAGATAAACTCGTACTGATTGCTAACAAACGCTGGAATCATAAATTAAGTGACGACCAGCTAAAAGAAAAGGCCGAAAAATACCCGCGACCAGCGAAATGCGACAAAGTTGTGAGCCCACGCGTAAACCCTGAAATATGGGCTAAATTACCAAGGGCTGTTCGTGGCGAGGATCACAAGCTCTTTCGTGTACAAACCCAGCTTAGCACAGTCACTAATCTTGTAGTGCAAGCTACAGATATGCTGTTGAAAGCAAAATCTGACCCAAAAAGTCTAAAAATTGATGACCTAGTACGAATGAACACAGATGCCGTTGCTCTGGTCAGTCATGCTAGCCATGAGCTCAATATGAATTGAATTGATTTAATGACTACTGACTTTGTAACCCAAAAAGGTTAAATTACACCAGTATTACATAAATTAAGAGGATAAGTTAAAATTACATAATAATTACATATTTAAGATTATTTACATTTCTAAAAACTTATTTACTGTTAATCTTTAATATACTTTGAGGTAAAAACGAATTCTTAAAACGTTCGGTTCTGCAAACATAATTATGATATTTACATATCGGTCTTAGATCATATCCAGATAAAACTGTTTGTGGTAAAAGATCTTTGAGATTTTCATTGTCAATATTCTTCTCAAAGAAATGTTCGCATAATTTTTCTCGTCGATCTCTCAGTGACGTGATGTTAGTCGTGATCAGCGCTTCGTCGTACTTTTGCGATGGGAGGATTATTCTCAACGCGCGTTTTTGTATTTTTTCAATATCGTCACATAAATATTGTTGGATATTGTAATGCCAGACCTGGCATGCGTACTCTAAAACAGGCCTAATAATGGAGCTAGCCCAAAGGCGCGAAATCATCAGACCTCACCTTCACAGGGATTATATTGAGCTATGCTCACAAGAAGTTCCTGTGACAAGCCTACTGTTTGGAGACCTCCAAACAGAATTGACCCGTATTCGGGCAACAAACAAAATTGGAAATACAACAAATCCATCATCACAAGCGCCGAGTCAACGCCGGATTTATAAGCCAAATACGAGCAATTATGGCAACAAACAGCCTCCTTTTTTATGGCGAGGAGCCCAGTCGTACAGACGACTGGAGAACACCAACAGGCGTGGTCAGAACCGTGGTCAGAACCGAGCTCGTTTCGGGCCAATAAAGAAATAGACTCAGAAGCTATTCAAAAACTTTCACAAATACAGGTAAGCGAATACGAGTCTCTCGTGCCATCGCTTATTAAATATTTTGAACACAAGGTTGCCAATTTTAAGGCGGGCTAACTTAGTACTTCTTATTTTGCTTGGAAAGAATTGACATCTGATCCAGAAATTCTGGAGACAGTGTCTGGTCAACGCATAGAGTTTAACCAGAACCCAGTACAATTAAATTTACCTGTACAGCCAAATTACTCATTGATTCTGAAATCCAAAACTTGTTGAAAAAAGGTGTCATTGTAGAATCTTCACATGAGCCTAATGAATACATTTCACCCATATTCCTTCGACCTAAGAAGGATGGATCACATCGCATGATTTTAAATCTAAAATGTTGAAACCAATCTGTTACGTACCAACATTTTAAAATGGACACAATCTGGACTGCTATACGTCCGGGATGCTTTATGGCATCCATTGATCTAAAGGACGCATACTACTCTGTCCCGATTCACAAAGACCATCAAAAATACCTGAAATTTCAATGGTGAGGGAAGCTATATTAGTATACATGTTTTCCAAATGGATTGGCAATTTGCCCTAGGAAGTTTACAAAGCTCCTTTTAAACCTGTCTTCTCAAACTTGAGAAGCATAGGTCATCTATCTGTAATATTCATAGATGACTCTTATTTACAAGGTGCTGACTTTAATCTGTGTGTTCAAAATGTGAAAGATCTATTACATTACTTGACCAAGTAGGCCTTGTTATCAATCCTATACCCTACTCAGAAACCCAAAGGCCCTGAGAAATCAATCCTATACCCTACTCAGAAACTTGTATTCCTAGGTTTTCTGTTAGACTCCATAAAAATTATTATCAGCCTTACAGGAGAAAAAACACAAAAAAATAAGGAAGCTTGTCAAAAGCTTCTACAATCTCCTCAATCTACAATACGGGAAGTGGCTAGAGTCATTGGCATGTTAACAGCTAGCTTCCCAGGAGTAATGTTTGGGCCATTACATCATAGGCACTTAGATATGGATAAAACTGTGGCCCTGAAAATAAGAAAGGGCAATTATAATAAGACCATGACTCTTTCAGATGAGGCTAAGCACGAGCTGAGCTGGTGGGTAAGCTCAATTGAAAGTGCATACAATGTGGTTAGTTAGTCAAAAACGGGTTGGGGTTGCTCCCTAGCTGGCACACCTACAGGTGGCTCATGGGACTCTGGGGAATCGGAGAAACACATTAACTGGCTAGAAGTTAAAGCCATATTACTCAGTCTAAAATCATTTGTAGATCATATTTGTCAGAAGCATGTAAAAATCCTATCCGACAACACAACAGCAGTCTGCTGTATACATCATATGGGAACTAGTCACTCCAAGGAGATAAATCTCTTAGTTACGGAGATATGGGATTTTTGCATTAAGAATAACATTTGGATTACTGTAGCACATATCCCAGGAAAACAATAATGTCATTGCAGATTTTGAATCGAGGAGGGGTACCAATGATACTGAGTGGGCCCTAGACCAAACAGTGTATGATCAAGCAATCCAATTACTGGATGTGACACCCAGTATTGATCTGTTAGCTTCAAGGCTAAACTATAAATGCAAGCCTTATGTTGCATTCAGACCTGACCCTGAGGCTCAAGCCATAAATGCCTTTCATATCTCTTGGGTAAACATGTGTTTTTTTAAATTTATGCATTTCCACCTTTTTGCATTATCAACCAAGTATTACAAAAAATATCAGAAGAGAAGGCAACAGGCATAATAGTAATTCCACACTGGCCGACCCAGTCCTGGTGGCCATATCTAACCAATATGTTAATAAATTGTCCCCTTATGTTGCCTAGCACACAAACAACACTGATGTTACCATCCCATCCTCAGAAGATACATCCTCTACAAAAGAAGTTGCGATTACTGATGTGCCACTTATCGGGGGATTACTTGAAAGTCAAGGAATTTCGAAAGAAGCTGCTTCAATCATCGTACAAGCATGGAGACCGGGGACTCAAAAACAGTACAAATACTATTTACAAAAGTGGGAACAGCACTGTTGTGAACGAAGTATCAATCCCATTTCTCCAAATGTAGGGACTGCAATTGATTTTCTACATGAATTTTACAAGGAAGGATTATTCTATAGCACATTAAACACGGTACGCTCAGCTCTATCCAGCGTTGTCCAACCAATAGACAATTTCACATTTGGAAACCATCCACTGGTAACCAGATATATGCAAGGAGTATTTGTAAATAGACCAGCACTACCACGTTATAAACAGATCTGGGATGTGTCTATGGTTATAAAATATCTCAAATCTTTGGGTGAGAATACACAACTCTCCCTACAAGATCTGACTATGAAGACAACCATGCTGCTTGCCCTTGTTACTGGACAGCGTTGCCAGACCATGCAGGTCTTGAACATTGAACAGATGGTTAAGAGTGATGACATGTGGTCCTTTCATATAAATAAACTGTTAAAAACCTCTCGACCTGGAAAGCACTTTGGAAAGATTGAGATCAAAGTTTTTACAGCAGACAAAGTGATATGTCCAGTAAATGTCCTCAAAGAGTATGTGGCAAGGACGCTACCTTTAAGAAAGAACAATTCTCAACTACTTTTGAGTTACCAGAAACCACATAAACCAGTTTCATCAGAAACCATTGGCAAGTGGATCAAAAAGACTTTAACTAAAGCAGGCATAGACATTAAGGTATTTGGTGCTCACAGCACAAGATCAGCATCTACATCTGCAGCAAAAGTTGGCAACATGCCAATTAGTACCATTATGGACGCAGCTGGGTGGTCGAACACGAAAACATTCAGTAAATTTTATGACAAACCAATTGAAAGTGATCAAAAAGAAAATTTTGGTCATAGACTCTTAGAAATTGTTAACGTTGATTAAGCATGTATCGTGTTGATATTGTTGTTATTAAAGCAAAGTTACAGTGCTCATGGTCATTACTTTAGAGTCTCACACGTGACTCCGTAGCGAACTAACCAATGACGAAGTAGAATTAGAAAATTAAACGAGACTTACCTGTAAGGTGAAGTTTGATTGAGATTCTACGAGTTATTGGTTAGGAGCGAAGGAGTCACGGACCCACCCTACGGTTTACCCAGCCCTACGGCTTTACAGCGGGTACTAAATATCAATGACCATTCGCACTCCCTTTAAAGACTGCCGCTCGATCCTTCCCGCGCTATCTCACACATGACTCCTTCGCTCCTAACCAATAACTCGTAGAATCTCAATCAAACTTCACCTTACAGGTAAGTCTCGTTTAATTTTCTAATTTTCAACAAGTGGAAATTCCAAACTTTCAACCAATTAACATGCTTAGAATATATCACGTGTTGTAGTAATTCGATCTGTATGACACATTGACAACAAGCAACCTCGTCCCCAGGGTCTTCCTCGTGGTGGCGCGTGAGCTGAGGAAGACCCTGGTAAAATACGATGAAATCTCCAAGATTCTTGGAGATTTATCGCATGCGCAGTAACGACAACGTTATGTTGCTGACTACAATTAGCGCTGGCGCTTACGATTTTCTTGCTTGAAAATATACATGTTTTGTTGATTGTTTATGCATTTATTCTCAAAGTTTTAACAAATTTTACGAAAAGTACTTCAGATATAAGCTGTGAACACACATGTACACAAAACTGTGCAACATTCATCATCATATTGTATCAATTTGTTGGAGTATGG